AAATCGCCTAACAACATTATATAGTAATGAGCTGAAATGAGTCAAAAAATTGAGAAAAAATTAAATGAAACAAATATTTATTGAGACATGGAGCTACAAAAACACATGACATGGAATCGGACAAACCTTTTAAAACAACTTAATATCAACCTAATGAACGTGGCTTACTGTGAATTTTCAGCAGAAATACGATAAACTAACGTAATTACCCGTTTCTTAATCAAAGAGGTATATTAAAATCTGATAAAACACTTAGAGTCGACCAAATGATGATTACGCCGCTGTTACCTTCTAAGTAAATTCTTCGAATTCCGATCCCTAAGATAATGATTTATTTTTGAATTCATTACAGGAGAACACGACCATGTATCGATATTGACTGAAAAATGTAGTTTCGACATTTCACTGTTAGGCATGTTTTATAGTTTCTCACCTACGCATGAAAAAAATGAAAGCCTCATATTCATTATTGCTTACTCTCTAACTCTCCAATCGAACGATAGCTTTATTTGGAATTATTCTAATAAAGGCGAGTTGCCATTGAGAAATTTCAAAAGCATTATCGCTTCCGTTCTTGGTAATGTGTATCAGTAGGTGTACTGTTGGTTATAATTAATTGAATACTAATTTGGTCGTTTGGAATATACATCAGCTCGAATGTGTAGTTCTCATAAAAGTGAATGATAATTACTTTTCAGAATTGCAACTTAGAAATGACGTTGAGTGAAAGTTTTTACAGAGTGGGCCAAATTGGTAACTTTTAAACGGAAACTCATGTTTTCAAACTATAGTCCGTTCATAATTTGTTGATAGCTCACTGCAAGTTTGACCCTCATTAGAGAACTGAAATACAGAGAGGACAGATAATATGATATAATAACAAAAACCAAACTAAAACTGGCAGTTTAAGATGTTTTCGACTAACCCACCTTGTATCTGAAGAAATACAATACAGTTATAAAACTTTTAATCCGATTATGTAGGTATTTTGAGTGGAAATGAGTGACCAGTGTCGTAGAGTATATGATTAAAACATTAGTTACTTTAAATAAATAAATATATTAATATTCTTAAACTGTAGGTACTGTAAACTGTATTTTTATTTTAAAAAAATGTCTTTATTTTATTCAAAAATAATAAGTTACTTGCAATTTGTAAAAGATACATTTATTTAATTAATACCTATTTTTAAATGATATAAACTACGATTACTTACAAAACTATTCAAATTCAAAATAAACAGGATCATCTTCGGAATCCGAGTCGTCTTGCAGGTTAATAATTAGCGGTTGTGTCTCTACAGTCGCATCAATTATATTGTCAAGATCCCACATTTTTTGTTCTTCTTCTATTGCATGTCTTACTGCAAATTTTGTTCTGTAATATGTTGTAAAGACTCATATAACAATTCACGTACAGCTTGTATTTTATATGACGTATTTTTTCTAGCCACATAGCTTTTCATTTGTGCCCAAATGAGTTCAATTGGATTTAATTCGCAGTGGTAGGGTGGAAGTCTAAGGACTGTGATGTTTCGTCTTTCCGCCATTTTGTCAACTACGTATTTCTTGAATTTAGATTTGTGTTGCCGGGCAATTTTTAAAAGTTCTGCTTTAACCATTCCATCTTCGTAAGGCAGGGACTTATTCCGCAGCCAGTCAACGATATCCTGTTTCTTCCACGCAGTCGTTGGAAGTCTTTCAACTAGTCGTGAATGATAAGGTGCATTATCTAATACTATAATTGAGTTTGGTGGTATATGTTCAATCATCTGCTCAAACTACTCTTCGAAAACATCAGCTGTCATCTCCTCGTGATAGTATTTTGTGCTTTTGGATTCAAATTCCAACAAACCATGCTTAGCAAATCCTTTTTCACTGCCAATGTGAGAAACTATTAATCTACTGCCTTCACCAGAGGGTGGGGAAATACCAGTAGACCAACCTTCCATAAAAGCTTGCCTGGAGCTTGATATATTTTTATCTGTCATTTTTGTGAGAGTATGACCTGCATTTACCCACGTTTCGTCCTGATAGTAAATTGGCCTTCTTTCAGCCCGAAATTTTCGTATGGATCTTAGATACTTTCTTCTCCAACATATTATCTCTTCCCGGTCAATCAAAAGTGATTTTCGGTCTGATTTCTCCCACCGGAAATTTAATTCTTTTAAAACTTGCCACAATTTGGTTCGTCCGACATGAGGCAAATCCGGGTCGTCTCTAACTTCTTGTAAAATTTTGTTTAAGTTGGGTATTTCTTTTTTGTAAAAAAATTCGTGAATTTTCCTTCGAATACCATTTTTGGCAAATTCATCAATTTCAATAGGTTTTCTCCCCCTCTTTAAGTATTCGTTTGTATTTGGGTTAGCTATACCTTTTTTTTTCCTTCTGATAGGAACCTATATATTGTTGACTCCCCTACGCCCGTCATGTTGGCACAACTCTTGATTATGTTCTGAACAGTGTTTGTGGGATTCTGAGAAACCAGAGCATCGTGAACGTTCAAAACAATAGTCTTCTCTCTTGGTGAATAGACAGACTTACTGACTGTACGCAACAGTACCGGTGTAAAACTTGATTATGTTGATGATGATGACGAAGCAATCGCAAGCAATCAAACAAAACAAGCAGGAACGAAAGGTACGTATATGTTTGTAGGAATATGAAAAAAAGTTACTCACGCACTGCACAAAATTCGCAAAATAAATATTAGAGACGTTAATTACTGCCGTAGACGCCGAAACACCAACGAGCCGTAAATTAAATGCGATTAAAAAATATACTAAACCAAAAATTATTTTCGTTCGTAACAACTTCACCCTTTCAAGGCAAGTTTCGAATATAAACTGAAGCTTTATATTTAATGAATAAACACCTCAGGAACCTCCGCCTATGATTTTACGAGTTTTACGACAGTTTTATGACTTGGACCCTCATTTTGTGCTATCGACAAATTATGAACGGACTATAGATATATGAAAACTGATGGCTCTGTCTGAGAGACAAATTTCATGACAAAATTAATGGTGAAAACCGCATATCGATATCTCTCATCTTTTCTGAGTTACATCAGGTTTTTCGAAAATGTGCATTTTCGACAGGTTTCTGTAATTTATTTCCTGTCGTAAATTTTTTGTTTCATTGAAAACATTTCCAAAGCACTTTTTACGTAGAATTCAATGGTGTAAAAAACACTTATTTTTTCAAATGACATATCAATAGTTATTGATGGAAAACTTTTTTCAATGAGACACCCTGTATATTCCTGCATATTTCAATAGTGCTTAGAATTATCTTTCCAAAAATGTAGCTAGAACCAGCTTGAATTTGTCCCGCTATTAAAAAAATGTGACTCTAGCGATATCACAAACTACAGGGTGATTTCAATTTTATGTAACTTTTCTAAACTCTTCGAGATATGTGTGCAAAATGTTATATACTCCCATATTCAAAAAGTTATTTCTCCTACTTAGCATGGTTTCGTACAACAAAGATCATGTATGACAAATCTTGCATGTTTAAATCAATATCTCTGTACGTACCTGGACAAGCAAAAACAAGTCGATGTTATTTATTTAGATTTTTAAAAAGCCTTCGCTCAAATATACCATTATGTTCTTCTCAGCAAATTGACAAAATTGGGATTCTATAACCAACTGCTTACTCTATTTGAATCATACCTAGTTAACAGAAAACAATTCGTCGAATATGAATCTTTCAAATCGGCTCAGTACATAGTTACATCTGGGGTACCACAAGGTTCTTATCTTAGACCTCTTTTTTTAATTTTTATTAATGACTTGGCAACCTTTTTGAATATTCCTAGCCTACTATTTGCAGACGACCTGAAACTATTATAAAATCGATGACTGCCAACGTGTACAACATGAATTGGATTCATTTACAGAAATGGCAAAAACTTCAAAAGTATTGCCACCTTAAAATTGCTATATTTTGCGTATACCAGATCTAAGTTAGAGCATGGCTCTGTGTTATGGAATCCAGTTTACGACTACCAAAAAACATTAATCGAGAGCGTGCAAAGGAAGTTCCTCTGGAAAATAGGAGAGTTATCCTTGGTATAAAATTCATGTATAAATTACTAAACAACAGTATTGACAGTACGGTTTTTTACCCGAGATCAATTTCTTAGTACCAAGAAGTGAAGGTCGACACAATTTGAAATTCTGTTGCGAAGTATCACGCACAAATGTTATGTTACGAACACCATTGAATTTTATGTGCAGTAGCTTCAATAAATTATGTGAACATTGCGATATTCATTTCGACTCTCTGAACTCCTTGGTATCATGTATCCACAATCACTTTTAATAATACTATAAATACCATTTATGTCAGTACTGCTACATTGCATGATTTGTAACTTTTTGCGTTATATACTCAATTTTTCATTCCGCTTTGGAAATTCTACTAAAGCACGGTCTAATAGAGTCTTGATGATTCCTCTTTTAGTCGATTGATGGTGGTTGGATTCGTGGTTCAGATACTGTCAGGGATTTCAAATCATTTTATATAATAGACAATGGAAGTCCGAACTAGTGAAATTTACCAGTACTTGTTAGACATTCTGCTAGTAGTAATCAATTAAAAAAACCTCAAAAAGATACTTGTAGATCTAGAACCCTATTGTGTTGAGGGTTTTTTAAAACACCAGTTTTGAAATATAATTGTGTGTGACGTCATTTTATTACATGTTGTAATTATTTTTTATACAAATAATTGTGGCATTTTCTAAAATAAACATTAATATTATTTTTATTAAAAACAAGAAATTTTTGACATTAAAAATAGTGACAGCAACTTTTCGAAAATACACATTCTTCATTCCAATTCTCATAAGTACATTATATTCAACCTATCAAATCTAATATTCGTAAATAATTCGGAAGTGTTTTTTTTTCTGTTTTTCACCACCGGAATTCCACTTCTATGGATAAATGCGTTTTGCCTTATGCTTTAATTTTGATTTTTTCGTTTCAGACGACTGGGACAGATAAAACTACTTAACGGAAAGGTAAGTCTTTGACAAATAAATAAGATAAGCGGTAGTTGGGTATGCGACGGTCCAGAAGTTACTGTTTGTTTTTCACACAAGGACATACTTGAAGAGTACGGGAGATAACAATATTCGAATTTGAAGTGTGAGTGAACTAATCACAAGCAACTGTTTTATGTGAAACATTTCGTACAGTCAGAAATATAATGTAATGTAATTTGATTACAGAATTTGTCAAGATAAAATCATATATATTTTTGGGAAAGTTTCAAACCACACAGAAGTGAAATGCAATACATTTTCTGAAAAATGTGAAAGCTGAATCGATTTTGAATAAAAACCGTTATTAGATATGTTAGATAAGATTAAGCCTATTCAGGTAGAGAAAGCCTATTTAGTGAGTTATGAAGAAGTATTTATAACTAATTTATTCGTATGTACTATTTTTGCGAAATGAGATTGCATAAGTACTTTACAAAGCACATAACGAAAATATCTTTGACCAAATGGTACATGAGGCATAACTTGGCGACATTTTTGGCGAATTTTTACCACCCATGCATGATACAATGTTTTTATGTGTACATAATTTAGGATTTTCGTGCTGATCGACATACATTTTCTTATATTTAACGTTTTCTATTGGTTGAAGATTCGTCTTCAATTTAATAACTTGTCGAACATTCTGAATACAAGCACTGCAGGAAAATCCTTAAGTCGTCCTGAGGGCGGTGCTTGTATGGAAGTAGCGATTCACATTGGATTTGAATTGATGGAGATCAAATCCATTTGGAGAAACGTTATCAGGAAGTTTATTCCACAATAACGCAGTTCGCGAATTGAAAGAGTTCTTAAACAGTTGAACTTCAAAACGATGAGCAGCCACAGCCCGTCGTGTATTTCTGATTTGCCAAGTCACTTGAACACTTCCCGTGGAAGTATCTATAGAAGAGAGACAAATCTCCAACATTTCTTCGATGTTCCAGACGACTATCAAGGTTGCAAGTGATGTTCACGTCTCCAATCAGGCTGATGGCTCTTTTCTGGATGGAATCCAACACCTTCAGGGTATTTTTAGCGGCGGAGCTCTATACAAAAGAGCAATACTCCAAAGAAGGTGTGATCTGAGCTTTATGAAGCATTAAAAGTTATTGAGGTGTGTATAGTTTTCTGGTTGATTGTGCCAATACATACTGGTGTTCAGTTAAACCCACAACAAACTTATCGAAGCAGAAAGTGGAATTGTCTGTCCTGACATTGTTATATCCGGTTCGGAGACATTGTTTTTTTGGAGAAAACCGATGCCTGGGTTTTTGTGGCATTGAATTGAATCTGGTTAGTTCCACCTCAATTCGAAATCACTTCTAGATCCTCATTAAGAAATGCAACCTCCTACTGCCAGTGAATCTGCAGCCGATGTCCTGGAATCCAAATAGAATAACGAGACAAGTCTGCTGTCGTCAGCAAAGCAATATATTGGATTCTTTGTTTTTCCAATAAGTCGTTGTTATATAATAAAAGAAGGGTTGGAGACAATATGGATCTCTGGGGAACACCAGCGCTGATGGTAAAGTATTCGAGAGATATCCATCGACGGCCACTTGCAGGGAACGTTGTTTCAGGAAGCTACAGAGCCATACACAAAAATGATCCAACAAGCCATAACATCGAAGTTTGGATAGCAAACCTTCATGTCACACACGGTCAAAGGCCTTAGGAATATCAAGAGCAACAGCTCTTGACCCTCTATGTTTCTCGATTGCGTTATTACAAATATGGGTGACATACGATAGAAGGTCGCCTGTTGATCTTTGTTTTCGAAAGCCATATTGATGATCGCTCAAGATGTTAAATCCTTCTAATTATTTAGGGATATGGTGGTTTATGGCTTTCTCCATGATTTTTGATATCACTGACAGCAAAGCGACTGATCTATAGTTATTTGGAAGATTTTGCTTGCCTCATTTCGGAATAGGCTGAATGCGATCAATCTTCCAATAAATGGTATTAAAAATACCAACAAAATATCCTTCAAGGCCAGGCCAGGACATGAGATTTTTTCAAATTGGAAGCAAGAGAAAGTTATTGAAATGTTACTGCACCACCTTTTGATCAGATAATGTGTTTAGGTGTGTGCATAGAAGATTTCTTAAATGGGATATGCACAGTAAATATTCGATGAGGAAACTGTCCTGTATAGATTAAGTTCTCCAAAAAAATGTCTATCTTGAAAGAGATGAAATAGCTCGATTTCAAATTGGTCGAACAAATATTTTTTTTTATTTCAAGTTTACCCGCAAAAGTGAACCCATGTTTTTTGACTCGTACATTGAATGGATCTCTAGTAGTAAACCGGTGTCGGCGTATTACTCCTCATTTTTGCAGGACAGAGCAATTGGCACTGCGCCTTGATAAGATATGTCCTGCACTGATGAGAAGTAACCGAAATTTTTTTGTAGGTGCGATAACTCTTGATGAACGACAAGTATCTGTACGAATTTACTCTACGAGGAAACTTGCATAAATGTCCCCCAGTAATGCGTATGCAGATTTGGAAGACCGAATGAATATTTGTTCCATAAAGCGTTTTCAGGATTACTTTTCGACCTGCCCTCGTATATTCAGCGGTAGCATATGCGCGGTTACATGATTTCAAATGAGAACTACCGTATTGGGAATAGCGAATATTCTATCGTTTTGAATATTCATTCGAAATCCATATATGTTCGGCAACTACTTGTCTCCTTTTTTGGATAAACCAATTAGATCACTGCTTTTGCATAACAAGCTTAATTATCAAGTTGGCGAAACTCGAATAAACGTTTCGAAGACACTTGTTTATGAATTATTCAAACTGTTGAAATATACAACAAAGCTGCGGTTGAATCCAATTCATTCTTCTACCTGAAGAAAGAGTGTTTTTGAGATCAATGAATTGCTCGTAGATTCAATGAAAAATATTTCATGAATTTGAATTGAAACTGAGAAACAAATAGAAGATGCTATAAATGTCTTGACATAAAATCATGTTTAAAAAATAAAAAATTAGACGTAAATGAATACAAACATTTTGAATAATATACTGATAATCATACTTCACATATAGTAAAAGGATATACTTGAAGACTGGTTGTAAATCAAATTATTTGAAGAACAATTCGTTCAGACCAGTCTCAAATTACCTTCTGTTGTTTAATGCAGGGACACCTATCAGAAAACAACTATTTCCCTGGCTAATACCACGAAAGGCGTTGGATTATATCAGACAGGTGTCAGTGCAGGATTCTTCACAGAAGTTAATCCTGCATATGCTACATGGCAATTTCAATTTTATGTAACTTTTCTAAACTCTTCGAGAAATGTGTGCAAAATGTTATGTACTCCCATATTCAAAAAGTTATTTCTCCTACTCACCATGATTTCGTACAACAAAGATCATGTATGACAAATCTTGCATGTTTAAATCAATACCTCTGTACGTACCTGGACAAGCAAAAACAAGTCGATGTTATTTACTTAGACTTTCAAAAAGCCTTCGATCAAATAGACCATTTTTTTCTTCTCAGCAAATTGACAAAATTGGGACTCTAACCAACTGCTTATTCTAATTGAATCATATCCAGTCAACAGAAAACAGAATATGAATCTTTCAAATTGGCTCAGTACGTAGTTACATCTGGGGTACCACAAGGTTCTAACCTTGGACTTCTTTTATTTTTAATTTCTATTAATGACTTGGCAACCTCTTTAAATATTCCTAGCTTACTATTTACAGACTACCTGAACCTATATTATAAAATCGACGACATTAATGACTGGCAACTTGTACAACATGAATTAGATGTAATCAAACTTTGGTGTAATAATATTCTACAACTGAACGTATCCAAATGTGAAATAATATCATTTACAACAAAAAAGCGAACTTTAATGTATGACTATTCAATCAACAGTACTACAATCAACCGGGTACATGAGATAAAAGATCTTGGTATAACATACGACAGTAAATTTACATTTACAACACATATAAGGAATATGACTGCTGATGCAAATAGGATGCTTGGATTCATTTACAAACATCAAAAGTATTGCCACCTTAAAATTGCTATATTTTGCGTATGCCAGATCTAAGTTAGAGGATGACTCTGTGTTATGGAATCCAGTTTACGACTACCAAAAAACATCAATTGAGAGCGTGCAAAGGAAGTTCCTTTAATACTTCTGTCTAAAAGTTGATGGTCAATACCCCACGAGAGGCATCGATCATAACATTTTGTTGACACGATATGATATATCTTTGGAAAATAGGATAATTATCCTTGGTATAAAATTCCTGCATACATTACTAAACAACAATATTGACAGTAACTACGGTTCTTTTACCCGAAATCAATTTCTTAGTACCAAGAAGTGAAGGTCAACTTAATCTGAAATTCTATTGCGAAGCATCACGCAGAAATGTTATGTTACGATCACCATTGCATTTTATGTGCAGTAGCTCCAATAAAATCTGTGAACATTGAGATATTCAATTCGAATCTCTGAACTCCTTGGTATCATGTATCCACAATCCCTTTTAATAATACTATAAATAACATTTGTGTCAGTTGTTAGTACTGCTACATTGCATGATTTGTAACTTTTTGTGTTATATACTCAATTTTTCATTCCTCTTTTGAAATTCTACGTACACGAATATTTTATATATACTTTGTTTTAGCATTTACTTTTATACATTTCTATATTCCATTATATTTAATGTTTATTTCATATATACTCTGCATTTCCTGTAATTGGGTACTGCCGGAATCGATTTTCAATCATTGAAACTTGCAGACCGGTTTCGGGCTATATAGCTACTCGTCAGTGCATGAAGTCGATGATTTCCCACAATTAAAAATCGAATTCTTTTTCTGAAGTCATAGAAAAAGAATAGTAATCTACTCGCGAAAATGCTATTACTCACTGGAATGACGACGCTACATTTTTCGCTCGTTGCAATTTCAAATACAGAC